TTGTTCGCGAACATCGAGCCGTTTTGACAGCCCTATAAGTATGCCCAAAGTGCACATTAAGGATTTTAGTCTGTCACCCTAAAATCTCCAATTTTACACCCAACAATGTATATTTCCTTATTTATCTGCACTTAATTCCATGAGCAAAATACTCATTGATGGACTTAAATGTGATTCTCACTCTATTGTAGAACTCATACTCCATTTCCCAAATCATATGTTTCACAACATATTTTAACAATTTAATTGGCCAGATCAAAATGTAAATTAAGAACTGAGTTGAAAAACCATCACAATTTATTTTATATTTTAACATTGGCACATCCAAATTATCTCTTCATTTCACCATATCTCAGAGTAGGGAGAAAGATAAAGGAAACTACTTAGACTTTATGAGAAAGATACAATAAAATACAAATTTCATATAAAAAAGAAAGTTTATACAACAATAATAAACAAACAACACTTATCTGAAACTCTTTCTCAAAGCAAATCCCTTGTAGCCTCTCTTAAGAAATGTAAGAAGAAGAAATCTCTCACTTTTCTTCCTCTCCAACACTCTTAGAGAATAATTCACACTTAAACTCACCACAAAATCTTAAAACAATAAAGAAAATAAAATGACTAATGGTGTGCAATGGTGTTGAAGGATGCAAAGTGACACGAAAGGGGCGAAGAGATGCGAAGAAAGACCAAGAGAGCGGAGGAGGAGAGTCTTTTATGATCAATTTCGACTCTAAATAGATGGCTATAGACCAAAATATCAACAAAATACAAAACCAAAAAACATCATAGGCAAGGAGTAGCATCCAACCAAAAACAACAGCAACAACTCAAACAAATTAAAGGGGAGAATGTTCATAAACATTTAAAATGCATAATTCATTCCCTTAGAATCATTATAGGCATGGTTTCAAAAAGGAAATATAGATCCAACCCATCTTTAACCCACTAATAATCATTGGAGTTAGAAAATAGGGATGATCCATGCGATCTGAGTTCACCCAATCTCAATAAGCCTTAGATTATGGCATGAAATATAGGAGAAAATATTGCCTATCTACGATATGTGTACTGACAACGGATGAGATTCGAGCACGCCACCGTATAAATCAACTTTCTCAAATCTCGTCCGTCGTCAGTATATACATTGTATGTCTGTAATATTCTCAAAATATAGAGTTTAGCTCAACTCTATCAAAATAAAAAGCGTATTTCTGGGAGCTTTTTTTTTCCTGTAAAGTAAATCACATTTATGAAATGATGTATGATATCTCAAGTCAAAAGTTAATGTAAAAATTATTACCAACTATAAATAAATTAAAAACAATTAAAATCAAAATACACTTCATGATAAGAAGAATTGAAGTCAACAGCTATCAAGTGATGAAGCTCAGGTTAATTAGAATGATAAAGAAATAAACGATCTCACATATCATTTGAGCCACATGTCACTAGTACAAGAACGCCACTACCAAAGATATTATCAATCAAAAGTGGTTGGTGGGAAGCCAATGAAACATCCTACAGTAATTCACCATAAAAAGAGATAATACATCATTATATTTTACATGGATATTAACACCACAAACAAAATGGTACTCTCATAGTAAGAAATTTGTAACTAATCAATAGTCAATGCAGTCGTCGTGATACTATATAATGTTGCTAAGTCATCCGACAGATAGTCAAAACCTAGTCTAACAATGCCAAGGTTGTTAGACTAGGTTTTGGTATCAACAGAGGTTGTTAAACTAGGTTTAGATCTAACAATGCCAAGGGGTGGGAAGAACCTCGGTATAGTAATGTATTATTTAATAGCCTTCCTGTAAAATAAATCATATTTATGAAATGATGCAAGATATTTTAAGTCAAAAGTTAATATAAAAAAATTATTATCAACTATAAATAAATTTAAAAAAAATTAAACTCAAAATATACTTAATGAAAACTTGTAAGAAGAACTAAAGTGAATAGTTGAACATGCATTCATAATTGCTCTCAACCGATGACAAAAATGTATGAGAAAAAAAATGAAGATTTGCATCTATGTGCACGGCTGTTTACATCTTCTGTAGTTTAGATGAGACCATTTGCATTTTGTATCTTTCCTTATTTGTCCGATTTCTCTTGTTATTTATGTAAGGTCATGGACAATCAAGAAAGGCTTTATGTTTGGTGCGGTGTATGCATCTGACATACGCATATGTTATTAATGAGGGAACAAGAAGAGCAACAACAAATTCTGAAAACTACAAGAAATCAAGTTCAAGGCTGCGAAATCTAAACCCTCTTCATTTGAACCCAATATGACTTTGAACTAACAATCAATAAAAATGCTTGCGACTTGCAATACGGAATGCCAAAAAGCTTGAAAAGCAAGCTACAAATCATTCTTCATGGCACAGGCATATTTCACAATGGAGCGCAGCGTAAGGGCCTTGCATCAAATCACTTTGCCTCGAAAACTCACTTAAAAGCAAGATTTTACCGATAAAGGTTTCGATATAAATTATATACTAAGTTAAAGTTCCTCAAACCCCTCCACTTACCTTAACCAAACCTACACAAAATAGTGCGATAAAAAAAACTTGACACTCACAAATAGCTCATGATCAACTCTACATTAACCTTATATGCTTGTGTATGCTTCATTTTAAAGGTTTCAAATTTTATTTTTTTGTATAATTCAAGCAAGTGCAGGCCAAACAAGCTCGTTAGAGTTTAAATGAATCGAACACCAAAATGATGTTTACAACCAATTTTAAACACCAATTAAATTCAAACAAAATAAAATTATAGCAAGCCAAACAAGAAGACAAATAAAATTCACTAATAGTCAATACTTTTATAGCCTATTTATCAATCCATCAACATCTAGTAAGTATTGGCAATGTTTGACTTAGAGTGGATGCAGCTACTACAAAATTTGCAATCATACGAAGATTTATGATTCTCAAATTCAAAGTTAGCATCACTACTGTCTTCACTCAAATATTTTAATTGCTGTTTTAGACGATTAATTGCCTTATAGAAAAATTAATACTCAGTGTAACAAGAGTCAATACCATCATGTCTGCGCATATAGAGAATCATCCGCACCACAAAAAGTGGTGCCATCATTGCACTAAAAGTACCACATTGTTTATTTTATCATTCATTAAAAAAAATATAATTCGGAGAAAAAAAACTGCTAGTTTTCATTAATTTTTTCTTTAATTGTAGTTTGGACAAAATGCCCAGAAATATTTTTTAAAAAATAAGGGGAAGATCCTAGATGTGTCACAGATAAATCTAAAATAAGCTCAAACATAGCATAACCACACAGATCTTTCTATACTTGGATGGCATAACAGTCCAAACAAGTCTGATATCATATGGAAGTAATTGGCATGCGAGCTCCTTACTGCAAGTTTTCAGACAAGGCAATACAAATGCATCTTAAGCCTTCCAAAACAATTTACTCCATAAAGGCATGCCTCCTGACCATAATTTTTGCCAAAGCATAAAATACCATAGATTAACACCGCTCATAAGATTAACTACACTTTCTAGTTAATTATTTCAATACTTTATCATGTACACCATTTAAATTACAAAGAGTAGAAAATCACCATTATTCTTGCTTGTCGGTTTGATTTTAGCAGTTGTTCATTTTTCTCGATCACATTTTGTAAACCATTCATAATGTTTACCATGTACCATGCAATTAAACTTTCTAAATTTTATCATTCATCTCAGCATTTTCATTTCTGTCACGCTCAATTAGAATTTCTTTATTACCCAATATTCAAATCCATATAGAATAGCTGATGTCACTATATTTTTAATACATTTACCATTACTTCTCCACCCGCATCACACAGACTTTGAAGCAATTCATTTTAACAGGGATTAAATACTAATCACAGAAAAAAGAGCGAAAAGTTTTGAGGCATAGTTTTGACCGTTACGCTACAGATGCCAAAAAAATAGTATATTTGACATGAAATAAATAACCAAATGTAAATTAAAAATAGTAATGTCTATACATATTTGCAAAAGATTTCACTTACAAATGCACTAAAAGGCAAGACCACTTACATGGGTTAAAAAAGGGCCATTTTAGCATTGGGCGTCCCAGATCCTCTCACAGCTTTGATAGTTTGCGAGTCTCTAAAGCAAACAAAATGTACGAGAGTCTTTCCATTTGGGTACACAGCAAAAACACTAGTACCTATTCTCTTGTGGCAAAGAGCACACGTACTATCACCATCAATCTTTACCACTGTACGGCGATGCTTATACAGCTCCTCTTTTACCTATTCCGGAAAATTAATATTAGAATATGAGATATTAACTCAATTGGAAAGTGAAATCAACTAAATCTAGCATACTCTCTCAAGAATAGCATATGTACATTTGCCTAGAGAGGAGCAACCGGGAAAAAAAAAAAACAGATGTTACAGACAGCAAATAGCTTGAAAAACCAACATTCATATAAACAAAATGCTAAACAAGGCTTCGCAAATTATTGTACAATTTAGAAACAAACCTGTAAATTCTCACTGTATCTCAAACTCTTGATAACATTGTAATTTCGGCAGCCTTCACTGGACTTTCTTAAGAGAGGCTCTAGGAATGAACGTAAATTCTAGCAAAGGAAAAGAAAATTAGGAAAATAATATAACAGTGAAATCATATGGTGCATTTGAAATTTGTTGAATGTTTAAATTAATCATATAACTATTGCTCAGAACAGGAAATTACTATAAATTTAAAACCAACTTCATGTGCATCTGAATACTGCCCATGAGTACTTGGCAACTTAATAGATCAAAACTTATATAATTCAAGGTATAGCAATAATAAGCAAGACTTGCACGTACATTTAGAGGAAATATCGCACGTAAATATTCTGACAAACAGAATAATGGATTAATAACTCAAATAAAATAAAACAATAAAATATTTTGATAATTCATAAAGCCGGATCCAAAAAGTTTGGATAAGGCTAGTCATAATGTTGATGATGATGAATAAAACATTTCATTTAGATACAGAATTTTAACTGATGGCCAAGCCACCTATGTATTCAACTAAGCACAGGGAAAGTTGAATTGACAATAATAACCTCTAGAAACCAAACATCCTATCATCATTCAGATGCTTCATACAAGATATGAAAACCAAAAAAATATATATATATTTATCAAAAAGAGGATGGAGTTAAGTGTTCCAGAATCAAAAGTTCGAACTATTTAAAACATTTATAAATTATGACTAGCAACACTAAAATATATGAGGCTCACAAAGCTTCAATGTTTCTTAACAGCCTATGCATTACAGTCTACCTGTGAACCCAAAAACAGATGCAAGACTTTTATCTAAGAGTTTATTGTGCTTAAGTCGAAATATATGATGGCATGCCCATGCCATAGCTGTCGATGGTCTATAAAGAGATGTGAACATTCAATATTTGTTTCAGCAGCGTAAAATCTCAGGAACGTTACTTTCATCTACAAAACATACCAAAAATGATTTCCAAAATCTTGGAAGAGTTCTGCTTAATCAGAAGGTGCAAAAAACAAAAAGCTGGACCATTTGTACAAGCAAGATACCCTCCATACATTGTCAAGTTAAACTTGCAAAGGAAAACAGTGTCAAATACTTAAATCTACTCTAAAGATTTGTTTCTCAATGTGAATTCCACAATGAAGGGAGATAAATGTACTTGTTAAATACAGATTTAGGGGTAATCTTAAATAAATTTTGTCAGAAAATTTATAAGGTTGCATATTATATACCTGAAGTTTTGTGTCTCTTGGTAATAACTTGAGGGCCTGAGCACCATTGATCCTGTCCCATCTCTGGCTTAACAACTCCAATGCCTCATTCAACATTATAGGGCCACCTTCGTCATTTTCTTCTTCTCCATCCACATCACTACGTCCACTATCAGTACTACTTGGACTGAAGCGCATATCTTCAGCTCCCTCAATTGAAGCAATCTTTTTAGCAACTCGACCCCCTTTCCCTTTAGTTGAACTTGGTTTTTGAAAGCTAGGGTTTTGTAGAGGTATTGGGTTAAGCTTTTGCTCGAATTCTTTGATAGACCTCTGAGGATTAAGGTAAATTTGCAGCAGAGTAAGATATATGTTGGAATTAAACTTTGAAGGCTGTTGCAATCCCATCTCATAGACACGGTCGCAGTATGCGAGTGCCAATTCACGTAAGTAGAGCTGCGATGATGGAGATTGTTTGATAATATTAGGCTAACTTTTAAATGTTAGCAAAACATAACGTACTTAGAAAAAAAGGTCAACAAGAACATTTAGACCAGCACAAGATACTAAATATCACAGAGATGCAGATCTAAGAGTTTTTCCTAGACAATATTCCATTTTTTTTTCAGAATTAATATTAGTAATCACTTGTTAAAACATCCGATTGACCATCTTGAAGGAGCATATCACCTTATGAATATAGAGAGACAAAGCAGTCTGATGTTGACCGAGCTTGCCTAGTAAAATGGCCCGCTCTTCGTAAAGAGCATCAGATGGAAGGCGGTACAAGAGGTTCTGTGTGTTATACGAAGGCATGCTATCTAACAATGACAATAACTTCGTCCGTGTGGATGAGCAGTTCTTCTCGTCCCATTTATGCTGCTCTTTTAGATCCTTGTACCAATCTATAACTTCTGAAAGGTATATTTGAACCTGACCAAGAAAGCTGCTCAACTAATCTGGAGTAATTTGTAATGTATAAATTGAAGATGGCACAATTTCTTACCAGTTCACTCTGAAGGTTTGTGTTGATCCCATTCTCACTCATTAAAAGCATAAGCTCTAAATAGGTAGATTGCAAGTTTGGTGCATGCTTCTTTAAGTATGAATTGCAGCAGGAACATTTCCAGACAGAAAAAGCTCAATGGTCTCTGAAGGACATTTTTCTAGGACAGGTGTAGAATATTCCAAAACAAGCATTGGGTCTGTCCTACAAAGAGGCTGCCAAAATGAAATATACCAATCATGCAAGATGTACAAAGCTATATGACTGCATGATTAAAAGTGATTAGCATTAATATAAACATTCTAAATATTTACATTCTAAATATTTTGAGGTAAGGAAAAAAAAAAACTGATGATTCAAGCTAACTGAATACATTAGCCAAAAAATAGATATTTTAGTTACATGTATTTTGAAGCATCAAGTTGAGCATATTTCTTCAATCATGGTTACTATGAAGTATTCTGGAGTATTTATAGAAAGTACCATCATCCGTTCTAGGTTTTCAAAAGAAGACAATATAGTCACACATGGCGCCTAATTTTCTTCTGCAAGTAGGAATGCAGAAAATACATAAAAAAGTTATGAACATGATGGATGAAATATTAAACACAAGTACTAACACAGGAGCATCGCCGCTCAGGAGGGAGGGATGTGACAGGCAGGAAAGCCAGTCTCGAGAGACCAGTAGCTGGAAATTTCACTGTTGACTGTGTGTGCCTTGCGGGGCCCATATTTGCCTTAACTTGATTTATAATTACGATTTTATTTATGTCCAAGTATAAATAAATTGCCTCGAGCCCGATTTTGGGCGCTTTTAATTTTTTATGTTATTGGAGACTTATTTCTCTCTAATGTAGCCGTTGTATCCTGTGTGTTCTCATGCAAGTAATGTTTGTAGCTTGTTCGAGAATAGGTGATGAATCTCCCTTGGCTTTTGTGCCTCACTGGTGTCGTTGTTGAATGTTCTCCCTGCTATTTTCAACATTCACAGCCGCTGAACCTCTTTAATCCTCTTCCAATCTCCACCTTCCAATCTCCACCGACTTTGCATATTCTCTCTCTTGCTATACCATAGAGTCTCCTCTATGGATCTGATGCTTAAACACCTTTCAAGAATCCTTTAGCAGGCTCAAGGACTCTCCACTTGACAGTTCGTAATCAGGAATGCATGCATTAAATCAGATATGCAAAGCATCTGGGAAATGAAACTGCATTACAGTGAACTCAAATACTCATTTGATGGAAATTAAACAAGATAGATTCATAATATCAGTTATTCAAGCAGTAGTAATACAATAACTTCGTAAAATAAAATAAAAAAGATAAATGAAAAGAAAAAAATAATTTAATGTCTTAAGATAACTGAAATAAAAGAGCAAAAAGCTCAGGAATAGGTTCATAAATTTTGGCAAGGCTATTTTGAGACCACATGCATATCTAGCTACATGTATTCAGTCAAATGAATAGTTTCTGAAGAAGAAAATGGGGAACATAAAACTGGACACGGCAGAAATTGCAACGGAGTAATTTGTGTTGAACCCGTATTTAAATTTGTAATATGAAAAACAGCCTTGCTAAAAAGAATCCTTTTTCTACATTGCGTCATATTGAAGGTCATATTTTCATTTAATTCTAATAAACTAAGATTATTATTTATATCATATGTCATTCTTTCTAGGTCCACCTCTGTCTTTCTTAACATAAGTTAAATTTAAGGGTCTGTTTGGGGCAGCTGCAGCTTATCAATAACTACTGACAAACAGTTGATCAAAATAAGCTACTGATCAGCAGTTGATCCGGATAAGTTGGTTAATTGTTTGGTTTGTGTTGATGTAAAACAACATATTTGCAGCTGATTATTAACAAATGACAATTCTGTCCCTGTGCAGCAATGTGGTTTGCAACAAAACTATAATAGCAATATATTTGATACTTAACAAGCAAAAAAACACTTCAGAACAATAGAAAAAATAAGATACACACCTCACATAACAGTGAGTATCAAGTGTACACTAAAAAAAGACGATAATTAAAAAACAAATCATAATAGTGAGTAAAAACAATCAGTGCATCATAACAGATAAGACATCCAAAATGTCCCCACCAATTACACTCTATACTCCATAGCCACAGCACACACAACCATAGCACCCACATGTTCTTGAGACGAAAAAGCAATAAGTTAACACAGTGATCACCACCAATGCAGGTACCATGAGGTTCATACAAGATGGAAGACAAGAGAATGAAGCATCATTCAAATCTTTCTCTAATGCAACTAACTGTAATTCCATGTCATAAGCATCATTAAAATTCGAAGTGTCAATTCTAGCTACCATTTAACATCTAGTGGTAATATATCAATATATCATAAACCTTTGCAAAAGCCACCAACTACAAGATCTCCTCGGCAGCTACTTAAGAAGCCCGATAATTCAAAAATGATACATTTAGATTCTGATACATATAGAAGGTGGAAGCTTGAAGTTACCTCAACTTATCAGATCAATAGCTCGAAATCCAACTAGAATACCGGAAAAGACAAATCACAAATCTCAAAGAAACACAGAGGATGAAAACCAAAAATCTCTTGAGGAAAAATCTCGTGCACCAATATGTAAAATCTCACAAAAAATCCAACAAAGAGAGCCAAAAAAACGCATGAGGAAAGTCACGATTCCATCAACAACCGCATGATTACACAGAGCCAAAAATAGCAATAACTTACAGAGAAACGTAACCAGAGCACCGAGTGAGAAGAGAGAGGAGAAGGGCAATGCTAAGAGAAAGAGAGGCGCGGGTGAGGGAGATCGATCCTAGAGCTAGGACAAGGATAGAGACACATGATCGAGATCGAAAAGATTACGCGATAATAATTTGTAAAGGAACGGGAGCCGCAGGGTCGATCCCACGGCTGCAATCCTTCAAAAATAACTCTTGTCTCGCTCGCATGTTTTCGGAACCGCCCACCAAACGTAATTACCAAACAATTTGTTGGCGTTTTGAAAACATGATATGCATAAATATGTTGCCCCAAACGGTACCTAAAACATCTACTCTACTAACCAGATCATCACATGGTCGATGTTTAAGATGACCAAACAATCCAAGACGACCCTCTCTAATCTTGACTGCCACTGGAGCTACACCAACCCAATCACGGATATATTCATTTCGCATTTTATCTCTAAGTGTCAAACCACTCATCCACCTAAGCATTCTCATCTTGGCAACACATAACATTGTTTTATGCTTCTCTTTTAATTGCCAACATTTTGCGCTATAGAGCATTGCAGGTCTCACCCCCATCTTATAATGTTTTCATTTAAGTCTAAGCGGTACTTTTCTATCAAGCAATAGGCCTGATGCATTCCTCCACTTCAACAAACCAGCTTGAATTCAACTAATAACATCTTCATCTATATCACCATGAACCTGAGATATAGAATGTTCACACCTTTTAATGATTTGATCACCCATAGTTACAATTCAGCCACTAAAACTACTACTAATAAAATTACATTTTGTGTATCAGTTTTAGATCTACTCAAAAAAATGTCTTTAAACTCTAATGTAGACCTCCATAATTCAAGTCTTTCTTGAACTCTTTCTCTATTCTTATCCATAAGAAGGATATCATTAGCGAAAAGCATGCACCAAGGTACATCCTCCTATAAATGAGCAGTAAGGGAATCCATAACAAAAGCAAAAATATATGGGCTTAAACTCAATCCCTGATGTAATCTAACTAAAATAGAAAAATACTTGGTCAATCCTCCTGTTCAAACACAAGTAACATCTTTAGTATACATATATTTAATGACTTGAATATAAGTCATATCAACACCTTTCTTCTCTAGAACTCTCCAAAAGACTTCTCCTGGAACCTCATCGTAAGCTTCTTCTAAATCAATAAAAATCATATGTAGATCCTCCTTACTATCTATGTACTTCTCCATCAAACCTCTTAATAAATGTATAACTTCCATAGTAGACTTGCCTGGCATAAATCCAAATTGATTATGAGAAATCTTTGTCTCACGTCTTAATCTATGTTCAATTACCCCCACTTATAACTTTAAAGTATAACATATTAACTTAATTGCTCTATAATTTGCACTCTTGTGCATCCTCTTTATTCTTAAAAATGGGGACCAAAAGACTCTTCCTCCACTCCTCATACATCTTTTTAGTTTTTAAAATAAAATTAAAGAATTTAGTAAGCCAAGAAACTTTCAAATTTCCTAAAAAATTTCACATTTCAATTGGGATATTATCAGGCCCCACCAATGGTTTTCTTTAAAGTTACCTCAACTTTTTTTTAATTAATGCGACGGTAAAAATAAAACTTTTTATTATTATTAACAATATTAAGATCAACAAGGTCGATCGTACTTTCAGAAACTTCATGAAAAACTTATCAAAATAGCTCACTCACCTATGTTGACTATATTCACCTAAGAAAATGACTTTTTAATTTCATCTTTAATGCACGTTACTTGAAACTAAATCTTCACTTTTCTTTTCTCTTTGTTTGGTTAGTTTATACATATATTTTTCACCTTCTTTAATATGTAATTGTTGAAAGATCTAGTAAATAATGATGATTATATTTCATATTTGTTATAACTCTATATTTAGAGGGGTATAAATTGTATGAGCTTAGGAATCTCTATTTATTCTTTTTCTTAATTAGAGAGATTAGCTGTCTCTTAAATTTATTATTATTCATTTCCATGCCTGCTATATTTTTTTTTTATTGATTTCCTTACAAGTAAGTCATGTAATGGGTATTTATACCCCTCTTTGCATCAATAAAAATAAGCTCTCTTACATTTTTCCACTGTTTAATAAACACATTTACAAGTCTTTGCATCAATAAACACATTTATAAGTCTTAAAAAATTATTTTTCCACATCTAAGATAACAGCTAATTTCCCTTTAAAAGTTTTTGGATGTGTTTTCTATGTGCATGTCCTAACTGTGTTTCGTTCAACACTTAATCTCAAAGCTGAAAAAATGTGTTTTTATTGGGTATGCTTCCAATAAACGTGGGCACAAATGTCTTAATCCTGTAAAAAAGAAATTTTTTGAGAGCATGGATGTCAAGTTTGTCGAGGATCACCCGTTTTTTCAAAATAATTTTCTTCAGGGGGAAAACTTAGTTGAAGAAAATAATTTTTAAGAAACTTTACTCATTTTTTTAACTAATTC